TATTAAAATTGAATTATATAAGATAATATAATTTTTAAGAAATCATTATACATCTATACTAATTTTTCTTTTTTTCATTTAAATTTCAGAATTTCAAACAGGATAATTGAATATATTTAAAAAGTTCAAATTTTTATTAAATATTATTTAAATATTATTTACATTGTTTTTGAAAAATATTTAATAATATTTTTTAACATTGATTTTAATATGGTTTAAATATTTCAGTTTGGATTAGACGAAATGAGATGCAGATTTCTATCTTTTTTCATATAATGCAAATTTCAATTTCTTATAACTTTAATAAATAAAGTTTATAAAAGTTTAAATAAAGTTAAGTTTCAACTGATATTTTTATATTTGTTTTGACTCTTAGAATCGGTCCTCCAAAGCTGTTCCATGAATATATATCATACATAGTTTTCTTCAATGCTTATATTTTATTTACATCGAATTGTATGTAAATAATAAATAGTATTTACCCACTTGGATTTAAATATTATTTGCTTATGGAAATATTTAAATTTTCCAGTATTTAATATTTTTTATTCAATTTTGATATTATATATATATATCATATTGTGTATGTTTATTTCAATGGTATTGCTATTATCTGGTCATTGGAATTCTGTACGATTTTCATAAAAATTCAAGGAATTCAGATGATAATTTAGGAAAACTATGGAAAAAAATTTGGAAATATGTTTGAAGATGCTCTTGATCTCCTTGATTTGTCAAGTTGTTGAAATCATGTAAGATTTGTCCGGCAATTCTGTTTCCTTTATTTCTGAGAGACTTGGAATGCTCGTTCCAGCTAAGATATGTTTATTCTTCATCTGTTATGGATATCCTTGTCGATGCAGAATCAATGGAATTATGTTGTTTTATGTCTCTGTTTATCATAGTTTCTCAGAAATTCTTCTTCCAATGTTTAAATATTGTTTTTCGGACAATGACTTTTTAAATGTATAATATATCATTTTTATTTGCAAATATTATTTAACATGTTATAATATAATAATAATAAATATTAAAAAAACGTATTATCATGTTTTATAGAAAAACGTGTATTCAATGTTAATTTTTAAATTGTAAAAAGTTATTAAATATGTACGTATGCATACTTCAGATTCAAATGGTATATTTTTATTTAAGTAAATATTATTTTTAAACAATTATGTGTTAGTTTATTTGGACATGCAAGCAATTTCTCTTTGAATCACTACATTAATTGATTGAAATTATTTTTATTTTTATCTTACTTTCTTTCCTTTTATATTTTATAATTCATGACTTTGTTAGGTAAACATTTCTTTAATTTAAAAATTTTACAAAAAAATTATTAATAGTATAATAATTTGATAGCAATATAATGTATTACTAATGATATCATTGTGCTAGTTTACTAATTCAGTTCTAGTAATATATACCTAATTCAGTTCTAGTAATATATTACCATTATACTTCTCATAAAGAAAAACTTAATATTTTTTTTATCGAATTTTTTGTGCAATTTTTTATCCATTTTACTTTCAAATCATTATTAAGCCATATTAAAAATAAATTTGAAATTTATTTCTCTTTATCGATATAAAATTTTTTTATACAAAACGTACGAAATATATTTTAACGTAGCCACATCCTTTTGTGACAAAACGTACATCAACCGATATTATTATATTGAACAAAAGTTTAAATTTAATTAGTTAATCTGAATAACTGGTATTCCTCGCGAAATTCGTTTATGAAAGTATCTACTATATAAATTTTAATTAGCAAGGTTCACTGTGTCGATTCAAATTAATTATGATAACTTGGGGAAAAAGTTTCTTATAAAAGAAATTTTCTATACGTTTTCTATACGTATATTTATTTTTTAATATTTATTCCGAATTTAATTATTTCATGATTAAATTTTCAACTAAAAATAAACATTATTTCCTGAAATTCACCGATTCTTTAATTTATTATTTTTCTTTAAAAATTATTTGTTTTGTCTCAAGATATTCACTTGATCAAATAAAAAACACGATATTGATTGAAATATTAATATTTATTAATTATTAATTGTAAATTTCATTTAAGTTTGATCTTTCATCTATGATATCATAGATGCAGAATTATTTTAGCCATACTTGTTTTTAAAAATAATTTTAACAACCAAAATACAAGGAATTAGTTATCTTGAAATTGTTTATCTTATCTTGATTAAGAAAATATGATGAAAGATTTTAATGTTAATTTTATAGTATTATATATTATATTTGTATCGATCAGAAGTATTTTTATATAAATGTAAAGCTTTGATTATAGAAAAATTTTATTGTATATCTTATATAATTTATGATTGAGTGTCAATATTCATAATATTCATTAATGATCATAATATTCTATAAGACGTGATATATTATTGAATAAATAATTAATTAGTTGAATGACGCATTTGTTACAATTTATAATTTAAAAATCTTTAATGCTAGAAAATCGTGATATATTATCGTATATATAAATAATCAAGTATTTTATTATTTCTTATTTCACTTTGAAGTTCGATTCTAATCACAAAGTATAAAGAAATATAATTTATTTAATGTGGTTTTGTCGCTTTTATTAAAAATATTTAATTTTATTTATTTTTAATATTGTATATATATATTCTTGTACACTTTATAGTTTTTCTTATCTCAATTAACAAATTTTTCAACTTTTAAAATTTTCAATATTAATTTAAATACACATAAAATACATTTTTTTTCTTTGCACAAAAGTACATTTTTATTTCAATAATTCAAATCAAATTATCTCAGTAAACTCTAAAACTTTAAAACGATAAGAGTTGAACTAAAATTCAGACACATAATAAAATTTCATGTAAATAAAATTCACATAGAATTTACATAAAATTCACATAGAATGCTCTATATTATCTAGTAGTCATTTTCAGTTAATAAAATTTTTTAATAAAAATCGATTATCAATTTCTTTATTTTTTGCATATTTTTTAGCATATATTAGCAAAATACGTATAAAAATAGAAAATCAGCTTGAATACATTCTTTGGAGTCTCTTGAAATGAATGAGATAAACTTCGTCAACACCAATTTTAATCGATACCAATAGACAACAATATTAATTGAATAAAGACCGAATCCATCAACATCAATCTTGATCGACAGCAGTCTAATAACCAATATTAACCAATGTTCAGTATTAATCGCAAGAACAATGATTGAATTCACCAACACCAATTCGGGCAGCAATGATAGCCGATGACAATATTAACCGACGACAATATTAATCGCAAGAATTATGACCGAATTCGCCAATCGTGATTGGCCAATTGCTAATTTTGACGGACAACGGCTAACCGACGACAATATTAATTAATTGCAAGTATAACGATCGAATTCACCGATACTAATTTGGACAAGAATGTTAGTAGACGATATAGTGTTAGTGATACGATCGAATTCGCCAATTTTGACAGCAATGTTAATCGATAGTTCAATATTAACCGCAAGAATAATAAATTTCACCAGTCAGAATTGATTAATGATTTTGATTCTAGGTTCGTAGGTTAATATTGATATTTATCAAAATTAATATTAATGAATTAAAATAATAATATTAATGAATTCTGATTGGTAAAAAGTTTATGTTTCAACGAAACTCATTTTTTGAATGAATTGAAATCGTGTACGAACTTACAACATTATAATTATACTGAGAATCATAGTAATTTTGAGAAATTCATATTTAATTTAATCTTGACTTGTGATTCTCAACCAAGTCTATACTATAGTATTTTCTTTAAAAAAAATAAAGTTATAAATAATAAGGAGGCGAGGAGATGAATACAATTTCTCGATATTCAACAAATAAATATTTTTTTATAAAGAAGACGCATAATCGTTGCACAATCATTTGCAAATTTTTACCAATTATACAAAGAGAATCGTAGAAACGTCAAATTATTTTTTAAGTACCCGGCGGTTTATTGCATGATTACTTTATATACTTCGATATGCAGTTGAATTAATGTTTGCATTCAGATAAACAGAGATAATGGGATAGTAGAGGAGCCAGGCACACAGTGACACTACTTCTCCTCCAGTACTATTTGAATAATTGGAAAAAATCTTTACATCTGATTCCTCGTTTCTTTTGTGGTTATATAAATTTCTCCCTCTTTGTACCTTTTCTATCGGTATACATATTCAACAAAACGGATTTAAAAACAGTTGCTTTGATAGTTATTGCCTCGTGGATGAACGCAATCAGAAAGCAATAAAGTAAATACGTATGTAACCTCGAACAATATTTTGTAATATAAAAGTATAATAGGCTCGATCGATTATTGGCCACGTTTATTCGATTCTTTTCTTCTTCTTTTTTTCCCAATAACTATGTCAAAGTAATGAATTCTATTTGTTTTTTTTCTTTTTTTTTGCACAAAATATTATTAAATTGATGAACGCATCAATCGTGCGATAAATTATTGTCAATCGAGAATTTTTCAAAATTCAAAATTGTAATTTAATTTAATATAAGATTCTTCTTTAACAGAAGAATCTGTGTATAATTTTCTAACTATTAACTCTTTGATTGCGAAAAATAAAAATTATAATTCACTGCAATTGCAGAAAAGCATCGAATGCTAAAAATCACTTTCCAGATTGTAATATAACAAAATATATTATAAATGTATACATAACATTAATCGATATACTTCAACCTGGCACAGTAATTGTAAAATTACGTCAAATATATAAAAATTCAAGTCCCTTTTATTCAATATAAGATTCCAAACTTTATACCTTCATCATCTTCATCATCTTCTATCGATTCACACTTCACAATCACAAATTATTTAAATATTGTCACAAATCGAAAGTTGAACAAAATTTCGACAAAATTTCGGAAATTGACGTAGAAAATTTCCCCTCCTTATCTCAACAATTAACGATCGAATAATTTTTGTGCATATTGTTTGATTACAGTGCAAGGACTGAACACACCTGGGAGCGATTGAAAAGCACATCCCACAGACCTCTCCAACTAAAATCACTCGCCTAACCTTTCCCCTGCCCACCTTATCCTGCCTCTTATCCTTCCCTTCCCCCTTCAAATCTCAAGAAGATCTTTCTCTCTCTCTCTCTATTTCTTTCTCTCTCTCTCTGAACCACAGGAATCTGTGATTCCGTTATGGACAGTATGGATTCGAAACCAGTTTTGAACGATGACCCTTCGGTCACTCTGACCATTCGCCTGATTATGCAAGGCAAGGTAAGAGAAATTATCGTTATTAATTAATAATTACTTAATATTTGATTCTATTCAACTTGTAAAACTTTCCCTGAAACGCGAATTAGTAGAATCTCAAAAGTATTCGAATATCAATATAATTTTGATTTCTACATTTCATATCTTGAAATTGTAATATTTTATGCATGTTTTACATAAAATATTATATATATGTGTAAAATGAATTAAATGAAATTAAATCAAGTTGAACGAAATTTTAATATATACGATTTTCATTAGTAACAAAATTTTTATGTTACTACTATTTTTATGTTATGTTTTTATTTTACAAAATGGTTATTCTTCTTTTCTCGATTCATGTAGAAATATATTTTTCATTTGAGCTTCTTAAGTTGCTTTTTAAGCTTGAGAGAATACTTGTAAAGGATTAATGTATTCGTAGGGCATCTTTGGAAGCTCAATCCTGGAAGAAAGAGAAAATATTTAAATTATAATTCGTATGTCTTCGTCATATCAACGGGTCTCGCTCTCGCTCTGTCTCGTTCCATTCAACGCAAACATCAATTGCTCGTAACTTTATAAATAAGCGTTAACCGACATTTTTGCAGATCAAGTTTTGTGTTTGTTTTGGCCTTTAGAATCGACCTTCCAAAAGTTTTTCATGAATATATTAACATTATACACGTGAAAATATCCTATAACATGTATATTCATAGAACATCTTTGGAGGGTAGATTCTACAGGCCAAAACAAACACAAAATTTGATATACAAAAATATCGGTTGAAACTTATTTATTAAGTTATAAACAATTCAGTTTTCCGTTAAAGTTGGAGGAAGACAGAATTAAATCATTGTCTTCGTCACTCTGTCTCGAAGTTCATATAATGTAAATTTTAATTATTTGTTAACTCGATAAACTTCAATTTATATTTTTATATATCAACATTTGTATTTGTTCTTTAGAATTAATTTTTCAAAAATATATTATAATAGATATTAAATATTTTTTATTTGATATAAATTTATTTGATATTTGATTGTTTAAATATTTGAAGTAAAATAAAAGAGAAGTAAAGTTTTTATAAAAATATTCAAATTCTTTAGAAATTGAAAGTAAAAAAGAATATTTTTGATGAAAATTTTTTAAAACAATTCATTTGATTCGATAAACACCTCTTTCGATTAATACCGTACATTTAAAAAATAATTTTTTATTTTCAAATATTATTTTGTAAAGAGTTACATTTTTTTTAATATTATCTTTTTGCTAATTTTATTCTATATTTTATGCTCATTTTTATATAAATAGTCACATAGTTGTGATAAAATTGTTATTTTAATGATAACACAAATTTGTAATATATTTAAAAATTCTTGAACTCAACCAAATCAAAATATTAATTCAATTTTTCTTATAAATTATAATACTTTTCAAATACTTTTAACTGTACTTGAAATTGAACAATGAATAATTGATTTAAATTTCTTTCTTTCTTTTTATTTGTATTATATGTACTTTAAAAAAAATATTATAAATAGAATTCTTATTTTATCATTGCTATTTTCTTATCTTTTTTTTTCACTATCTTTCTAATTGTTAAATTTATTTAAAATTTAACTTTTAAAAAAGTTTTGGATGAGCTAGTGTCACAATCTATAAAATAATTTAAATTTAAGTTTTTATATCATCCATATATATTATATATACATTTCCAACATCAATTGCAAATTAAATTTTATTTCCACTATTCTAATGTGTATGATTACTTTATTGAAATAGAAATAGTACAGTTCAGATATTAAAGTATTCGAATAATGGAGATTCTATTATAAACAGGACTTATTTATGACATCTACATATTTCTTTGTGATTTTCTTTTAACCTATGTTTCACCACAGCTTCTTAATTCTTAGTTTTATTAAACACTCTATTCATTTATCTAATGAATATACACACTGTTCATAGAACGCCTACAAGATATTAAACTCATCATTAGCAATTGACAGTTACCCTAGTTTTTTGACTACATCCTGTTAGTTATGTAACTAATATTTTGTCTTAGCTGTGATAACTTAAAGAATGAAAATAAAAAAAAAAACGTGGAAGTAATAAAGTTAAATAAAATAATAATCCAATAAATATTTTTTAAAATGTATGACATTTCATATCATTATTTTGAATCTTCTCAACAATATTTTCCTATTATGTAAATATTATGTAATTGTCCATACAGTTATTATTATGTAACAATTTTTCTCCTTTTTTTTTCTTCGTTAATTCATACATAAAGAGTCGTTATAATCATTAAAAAATATTTTTTCTTTATTTTACAACTTGTTAAATATATTATTACATAATTCTTTATATGATTATTTTATCTTATATAACATATAATTTTGTTTCTCATATTTAATTCGTGCATTATTGAATATGATAATCAGATTAATTGTAATAAGCGGATAATACACGCGTAAGGAGTCAAATGTCGAGTTTTTTTTTTTTTTTTTAATCACTTTACATATACATGTAAATGTAAATTTATTAAAACATATATTATTTATTAATTTAATTTCTAATTATTTAACGAATAAGGAAAATCGATTAATTACACACGATTGCGTAATTGTATGTAACATAACGATGGATTTTCCGCAAGAATGTGATTTAACGAGAGACAAGGTTGTAAAGATAAATCAAAGAGAGACGTTGCATAATGTTGCACAAAAACACACATTTGTCACTCTGCTCCACGTTTACGCAGTAAAATCTGTATTGATGTTACAATTGTGATATCAATTGATTCAGATATATCAATGCTAATGGTATTATTAATATTGTTGATCGTGATATGAATAAAAATTTATTTTCATGTGTATTTTCATGTAGGTAATTAGAATTAGATAGATAAAAAAAAAATTATAATGAAATAAAAGCAAATATAATGTGTAAATTTAAAAATTAATAAGCTTATATTTTAGAGAAATTAATATTAGAAAATAAATAAATTTTTCTATAAAATTAGAAAATTAGAGAAAGCACAGGTTAAAAATAAAATTTGATCTTAAATTCGATAAATATTCTTTAAATAGAATTTTTAATTTTCTTTTCTTTTGTCTCTCTTTCAAAATTTTTGATAATAAATTATTAATAAGAAAAATAAATACGTAATTCTAATTTAATAACCAAAAAGTTTAAATTTAAAGGAAAAAATTAATCGTCAATATAATTTCAATGAATATTTTCATTAATTTTTAATTTCCTTTCAAATATCTTCGTTAGAGAACTATGATTTAACTTTAATTGCTAATTTCCATAAGGAAGGTGTAGAAGAAGATAGATATATATCTATTGGAAGATTTTTAGAGAAAAATATGAGAAGCATGGAACGAATAAATTAAAATTGTATAATTATTTTTTAATACTGAAAAATGCTTGTTCCTAATCATTTAAATTTATGTACACAAAAGTTACTTTTGTAAAATTAATTTTTGAGATGCTGTGAGAGTTTTGAAATTTTGATGCTTTATTTTCTTTTAAATATATATATTAATTAATTAATTAATATTTAAACGATATTTTTGCTATAATATTATATTACGTTTACAATAGTTACAATATAATTTTTTCATCCAAAATTATTTTTGTATATAAGGAACATTATTTACTGAAAATGTTATATTATTATAAGTTTATGAAATCAATGAAAATAATTTTCAAATGGTTTATTGAAAAATTTGTTGAAATTTTAATAAATATCATTGTAGAAAATATTAGAAATTTCTTATGTTTTTAATATCAATAAAATATTAATAAAAAATTGATTTGCATATTGCTATTTTTCACGAAATATTTCCATGATTCTGTATATAGCGAGATCTTGATTAATATATTGAAATCTCGATTATTCGTCATATTAAATTTAATTATAAACAAATATTTAAAACGTGAAAAAATTAATTTCTTAGCTATTTTCTTCTGATCTTTTCTTTGATAGATATCAAACTCCTAATATCTTAATAAAAGTTCAACGAATATCATAAAAATCATAAGAATTTTGCTCTTATTTTTCATTCTTTTCCCTTAATGTCACGTCTTTCTATCCCTATCATAATATTCGATTACAAATTTTGTTTGCTCGTTCGTCTTCCAACACTCGACACAAGAAGTCCAATTTATTGTTCGAGCAAAGTGTTTCGATGAATATGCAACTCAAAAAAACTATCCTTCATGCTCACTTCTGCAACAGACGCGCTTATTTCACGTTGGAACATCGTCCTAATTATTTACACTGTTTTCGCCATCGTCATAAGAAATATGGAATATATTAGTCTGTCGTGTTTTTACAAATTCATTTTTCTAGAATAATAAGATAGAGTACTTATTCTTTCAAAATTATTTTTATTTAGATGCGTGAAAAAATATATATAAATATATATACATAAAGATGACATTTAAAGATGACATCATTGAAATAACCAATTTTTTTTTTTTTATGAAGAAATCAAACTTGATTATCGATTCTAATTATAAAGGAATAATTTTGTGATATTAATTAATTAGTTTATTTTACAAAAAAGATGTAGGAAAAAATAAAGAAATACGATACTTTTTAACGTGCACGCGTAATCGTCTTCGTTGAATACAATAAAATTAATAAATGTTCACCATGAAAGAGATACGGTGTTGCGTATATAAACGTGTTAATATCAATGGAAAGCAAATAGGACTATATATTTCTCGAACTACGATGCAAATAACGAAAAGAACTTTTGGGACAATCTAATATTTCATCGTCGAGATGTATCTCTATGTCCAGTTCTCTTGCTTGGATTCCAACGTAAATCAAGAGCGTGAGCAATGTCTTGCATAGCATGCTCGCATGCTAGGACGGATGGATCTGTGCAGATCGTGTACAGAATTCCAGAAACCAGTCCGAAAGATCGTCATTAGCGTTCTCGGACACGAATCTCGCGATCCTTCGAAATATCCCTCTTCCATCTACCTAAGAATATTCATCA